CCGTCATGACCATCCTACACAGATAATTGAGCTAAAATGGTGCATCGCAATGAAATACTAAAATTAGAAGCATTTGAAAGATTGCATCAACATGAAGACAGGAAGCTGTTGGGAGTGAAATTCCAAGACAAAAGTCTATGTTAAATAGGTAATGACAGACATTTAATCCCAAACCACTTTAGATTTTTTTCCTCCTCTGTTTGGGACACAGTAATTTGAAGTGGTCATGGTGCCCGAAATCAATATGGGCAGGTTTCGCTATAAAAAGCGTACTGAATGGCTAGCAGGAACGACTTCGACAGAAAACAGAGGTCAAAGGCCACAGGTAGACAGCTGACATTTTACATGGACATTGTTAAGAGTGCAAAAACAGTTTTCCCCATTACCAGGAAACAAAGCCAAAGAAATCCTGGCATCATAACCACTACAGTGGGCTCTTATGGTTACCTTGCTTGGAGTAAACTTTATTGGAAAATATTGTTAACTGTAGAGAGTGTGCATGATGGGGCCACACACATAAAAAGGAGTACCTTCATTTCCAACTAGGTGCCTCTTTGTCCTTAAAGTTACCAAGCACTATAACCAGTACCGATGTTAGTAGTGATTATGGTGCAGTGTGTCTTTGGGTGCAGTTCTATCAGTTTTGGTAAGCCACCTGACAAAAAGGGTTGTTTTCTTTGTTATGCAAACTTTCAGCATCTTCATTGTTTGTACAAATCCATGCACATCTGAATGGCAATGATAGTTTAGCAGTGCTGAGCTAAAGCCACTTCAGTGCTTATTGTATTATTACGGTCTAAATTTGACCAAGTAATGGAGCTATGAAAAGTCCACATTATCTGGATATGGGTACCAGGGGAACACTTTTTTCCTAGATTATCTGTAAATACTAATTTCTCCATAAATGCAACTATAAGTGGTAATGATTACGGCCCTTACAGTTTTCCTTTAACTACACTTTGGTTGTACATTTGGATTCATTGTATATTCTATAGACTAGGATGTTCCCACACCACCAGGTTTTTGAATTCTGCATTGTATTGGTTATGGCTTGGAAACGTGCATCAATATGTGATATTTAAGTACTGTCTGTCCATGTGAAATCATGTATAAAAATCCACTGCAAATTACATCTGATCAAGTGAATCCACTCTGAGCATAGCCAAATGCCATGGGTTTGTGCCAAGTTTTAAGTCAGTTTACTGTAAACCAACACCTAAGGTGTATTCTCTATAGGCACAGGGTACTGCCATATGAACAAGAACATTTAAAGGTGTAACGGATCGCCTGGCACCCCGACTGGTTACCTCCGTTAAAGGATGCTCCTAGCGCTTCCTGAGGACTCCAAGCACTGCCGCAGACACCACAACCACCGCAGACTCCGCAACCGCCGTATCTGGACTGGAGTCTCGCCGTCTTCCTTCCACCCTGGATCAGCTTCTGTCCTCCAGGACTGTGTGGGTAACAACTCTTCCTTCCACCCTGTACGAACCTCCAGCATCCAGGACTGTGTGGTGAAGACCCCTCCTCCAAGGAGAGCGTGTCAGGAACAAGCTCTTAAAAGAGCTAAGTGACTCAAGCTCAGGGGAGCATGCAGAGCATAGCAATCCCCAGTGTGATTATAACAGCGCCCTCCAATA